TGTAGGACCATTTCTGAGGAAGCTACGACTCCATTTGTGGCTTTTGATTATATCGGGCCATTGGTGACACACGGCCGCTGGCGTCCACCCACTACAATGCAAGTTAAAGTGCCTCGACAAATTCAAGTATGCACTATTTATTTATTTATTTAGCTTACGAGAACCACCGTTATTTGATAAAGATGCCAAACTGAACGTGCATGTGCGTCATTCTAGTGACAAACCCAGCCTACCATAACCGACGTCAACTGCGTGACTGTGACAAGACAATGCGCTCATTCACCCTCAACGTCACGTGATCGGTCAGGTGAAGTGTGTGTTCGCAACAACAGCCGTCACTGAAAATGTTCTCATATAAGTGGAAATGCGGAAATGCGGAATGTTCTCTCGAGTTCAGGAACAATTTAGCCAGCTCTATTCGTGACACTACATTTCACTCCGGGTGTGGGGATGTAAGTCAAGTCGAATTATGGAGGCGCAACAATCTGACTGATGCGCTCTGGTTTTGCTGAGCAATCATAGCTATTCCAATTGTCAATCGTATAGTTATGTTTATGAAATAGTGAGATAAATTAACAGAAACAGTTAATCAGATAGCGAGTTTTGGTGCTCTGCCATTGAAAGCAGAAAACAGACCCCGTCTCTTGGCAACTGTTCCTAAGTTAAAGAGTAATGTCAGTCTCTCTAACTGCCCCATGGTATCTGCACCGCTTACTCTAGCACACCTCAACCCCCTAATTTAACAAGTCGCATTGCACGGGACCGTTATTACCTTATTAATTGAAGCTACACCTGAGGATTCAGCCATGAGACGGGCAGCTCAGAGCCGGCAATCCGGTGTGATGAAAAATACGGGTAAAGTGCGCATCGCTTGCCTGAATAAAAACACCTGTGGCGACACACGAAGGCAATTTTCAGTACCGAGTACAAGCGGCGTGACTCAGTTTTCCCGTCATTCCCATTGGCGCCTCCTAAACAGCTCAGCTCAGCAGCAACCACTCTCAGACCGAAATGCTTTGGAATATTGGTAGCTCGGGAGGCTTGCTCAGTTGTTGTGGAGTTCTCCGAACTGGACATCTTGAATGCAATCAAGTTGCCCAGCTCGGAGAACTCCACAACAACTGAACTCTCAACGCGACATTTGCTAGGCAAAACCACGAGGTGTCAACTCCCGTGTGCATTAACTTTCCCGAGTCCAAATCTGGCACAATAAAGGGTAAGTTGCTAGATGGTCGCAACCAATGGAATAACAGCTATGATGCGATTGACATTTTTGTTAAACCTAATATGCTGAGACGTGTAGCGTATCACTGGACTTCGATACACTATGGTGAAACTCGAATGCTCAGACAAACATAGAACTCAGCAAATTACACAGGGTCATGCTACACTCAGTATGCTTTCGCAGCTTACCGCGCGGACTGCGCATATCACCCGGTTTCCCTTTAAAAGCTCGCCCAAAGAAGGCGAATAACTAATGCGGCCTTCCTGACAGCGTTGGCAAAAAGCCATATTTGTTCATGGTGTTCTAAACTTTTTCCTGCGTTCTCCTGGTCCCAAAGCGCAAATACGTGAACGAGGACGATAGTATTACTTCCAAGCAGCACTCTTTCTCTGGACGATGTTATCGCTAAATCATTGATAAGAATTCCTTCCTCACCTAACAGAAAGCGCTGCGGTCCTGGATTAATAAAAGCTGTGCTACACCCAGTCGGAAGGACACAAGTCCTATTGGATAACTATTTTAAATGTCGCGCCTGGTCGCCAAACCAGATCGATAACAAGGCAGCAGGTGTACGGCCAGAGTGGTCAGCAATTCCATGAAACTTACAACCGCGGTAAATTCTTTTCTCTCCGACAAACCACTGACTAATGCACACAACAAGACAGAGCGAAGCACGGGCGAACATCCTGATCAAGAACACTGTAAAGCTATCCAGCCAGACTGAAATTCTTAGACCGATGACCAACCAAAAAATGAGTAGACGCTGATTAGTTAACAGTCGGATTAAAGCGAAACACACATTTGAAGTCTAACAACGCACGCTTAACATCCAATGGTCTATCCTTTTCATACACAAACGCCCAAGGCCTTCTCAGTAACTCGGCTAAACCTAGACAGCGCCACACCTCACAACCGTGGGAGCTCAGCATGAATACAGAGACCTGGTCAAATCTTGAGACAACTGATCCCAAGCTCAATTTGCCTGGTAGGTAGATGCTTCGGAACGAAAGAACTGGAATGGGTGGTGTTTATTTCTTGAGTACAATGCATATCTCCGATATGAAGATATTGATCACCCTTAAATCTGCGCCCATGATTGGCTTTGGGACCGGCTATGGTTGAAGTAAAATGATACATCTTGTAGTCCTAATTTACGCCAAACCCAACCCTACTTTGGAAATGGACTCTAAACTGAAACTAGTTTTGAACGAAGCATATAGTTACATTCTTATCGCTGAAGACTTTGATATGCACGACCATGAAATACCAACCACCGATGGTGCCGTTGCGAATGCTGCCCAGGAAGCCCGCGACACAGTGGTAACTGACTTTCTACTTTCAATGGTATTTGCGAGTATTCCTTTAGAGAAGTCCGAGAACCCTCAGCTGGGGTAATTTCTTCATAGAGACGTACGAAATGGTGGAAGCCTTAACGAATCTGAGGCGATACACCTGAAAATTCCCTAACTCATCGGAAAACATCATCAGATATTGAAAAAGATGTTCCGTTATAGCAGACAAAATAACTGATAATCGCGGGAAGATGGCACTATACATTCTGGTACGCGCATCATTGAAGTTCAAGAAGGACAGTCTCCGAGGGTACCTCTTCCACACAGTCAATATGTAGAGAGTTAGTACTGTCACAGTTGGAGGAGCCATTATGCTCAGCTTGACAATGGTTGGTAAAGGGTTCAGTCGCGTGACAGCCTTCGTGTCAGATAACGCTAGATATATATGACAGCTTGCTACCGAGATGTCAGTAAGCCTCTTTGTGAGGATTCAGTTCACGTCAGGTGTGTTGCCCATTACGCCAACTTGATTAGGGAGAGCATTCTCAAATTCTCTCCGGAAGTCGACGGATTCGTTGCAAAATGAGAAGTGTTTTCCTTATTTCGGAAAGAAAGTGGCGTGTCTACTTGGAGTTTCTAACTCACTAGGGCGTGGATAATCCAATCGGCCCACTTGAACCGGTCATCATCCACTGCTACTTCTGGTTTAAATCTTTTGCACATCACAGCAATTATTTCCACCATTTCCCAGCCATGTTGCAAGCTGTACAACACGAGTTTGGAGGCTCAGTTTATGCTTGTGAACTGGTGGACATTCTAACCAAAGAAACTACACAAAAAGCTTTAAGGTGGCTACTGAGTTACAGTACAACTGTTAGCAAGAACACCACCCGTCACCTGAAAACTGCCGAATCACAGCCTCAGGTAACCCATAAGGTTTACAACGACCTCTTCGATCTACCTATGTCGCTGAAAACCGCCGCTGCAGAAAACTGGCTACAACATTTGCAGGCAGTGGGACTCACCTTTGATGCGTCCAGCAAAATCCAACCTGACATGATACTATGCTTATCCCATGCTGCCATTAAATCCTAAGAGTTGCTGACATCATAGGCTGGCTGGCCGTTTTTGAAAATCATTAGAGTCCTCAACTCTGACCAGCTCAACATCTTGCCAATTTATTCATGCAACCCTGCCGGTGCTCCATGCCTCGCTAGCTCCCCAGCTCTGACAGCCGAGTGGTTAATCTATCGAAAAGTGCTGGCAGAACTTCAAGGAGAAAATTGTGAAGACAAGCTAGTCTTTTGATGTAAGATGCATGAAAGAACTCTACAACTGGTAGACCTCGACGGCCGTTATCTATGCATGCACGTGAATTCTGTAGACGCTTAACGGAGCTTTCGTGTCTACAGAAATATTGTATCTGAGAAGCGAAACAATTTTGCAGACGATAGCACGAAGCACCTTATTGGGCTTTATTTTAATTCCTCTGTTCTAAATCATGACTGACAGGTAGATAGTGGATGGAAGCGGCTTGATTTCCGTTTATTTTTGTTTTCCCGGTAAAATCGGGGAATTCAATGTTTGCGCCGCAGAAATTTTGCGGAATTTTCGATTTTGATCGCAGCAAACATGTTTTACCATCGCGGAAAATTCGGGTCGTTAATTATAGGTTATGCAATCTCGTCTGGAGATAAGTTTATGGGTAGCGTGGTGCACTAACTGCTGGAGTGTGCTGCATAACTAATCGCTGATGTTTTCTAAAAAGAACGACACGCAAACAGAAGCTTGGTTTTCGAGAAGCTTCGTCGCAGCTAGCCTGAGTTAGATAACCACTAAGCGTTCAGTAATGTGCTAGACGTCCGTTTCGTTTTATTGGGACTCGTCATTAGCTCAGAGGATTCCCCTCAGGAACACAATGAATCCCCAACTGCTCTCTCACATTCAGTAGCCGCTTTGGCAGCTTTCACGTCACATTCATCAATGACGGCTTGCAAAGCCTATCGTAGCCTGCCATATCCACTGAATATCTACAGCTCACATATCAGTGGAGGGTGAGCCGCGCTACATCACGATTACAAATCAGTCATGACGGTCCACCGCTATCACCCATGCGTTGGTGGCATTAGTCACCCCACCAGATGGATGCGCGCTACTGACGAGACGAAACGGCCGTCTAGCAATTTTCTGCTTATGTGGTGGTTGTCTGGCTGAGTTGGCTGCGACGAATCTTCTCAAATACTCTATACATCCTCCTGCTGCTCTCTGATGTGGTCTATTCCAAATGGCTACGCGTACATATGGCACAAGGTAGTTATTTTTGTTAACATTCCTATGCTTTAATATGGGAGCAGGCTAGGGATGAGGCATCAATAAATTACGGATTGGGCTTAGATGTTATTAAAACACACTAAACATTAATATACAGATATGCACATTTCTCAAGTAGGTAAACCTGAAGCGGAAATTTAAGACGACGCTTTCGCATCTGCAACCAATACTTTTATTAACTTGGCACCAAGTGGTCACCTGAATTGGTATCTCTGAGGTACTGATGGTTACAAGAATTATGGCATTTTCCAAAGCAGCGAATTTGAGATAGGGCACCATCTGCGTCGAAGGTAACGAATTTATGCACAACACAGTATAGATACCGATATTGGTTCAAAGATGCTTCGAAAGCTTGATGCCAACCTGCGCGACATCACAAAAAGTAGCTAATATCTTGGGTCTCCGATTCCGGAGGCTGTTTGTGCACTTTATTCCCAAGGTTCCTCGTGGGCAATGTCATCAGATGTATCTTGTCCACATGGGTGCTCAGTCGTCCTGTGTATTAATGCTTGATTGAGACCGGGACCTATGAGAAGAATTTTGGTCGATAATGAAGGGTAGGTGATTGTCAAGTAGGGCTTATAGACTTTTCACAGAATAAGCGGAATCCAGGTTTATATCAGCAATGAAAGTCAGATTGTTACTTCTAAGACGACAGAACAATCATATTTAAAAAGCCCAGCGCAGATAAAACTCAATCTGGTTCTTTGGGTTTATTATTCGAGACTGAGTTTATGCATGAATGTGAGTGAAAACTAACGTTTTGATGGACATTGATATGCAACCTGTCCTTCTGTCTTCGAGCACTGCTTCCCATGCATTTGGCTGCGTTACTGTGTTGTGTTTAGTTTCGATTTCCGATTTCATTTGACTCCAATACTTGCATCATATTCGGTTAGCCTTAGATCCTGACCACTTTTGCAATGGCAAATTACAAAGCCTTATTAGGTCGATGTGATGTAGAACAAGCATGATCTTGTTTTTTGCAACCTATCTGTGAGCTATGGCGGTCCAAATGCAATGGCGACAGTTCTCTTCAGCTTTGCCGTCAAAATATTGCAAAGATTGCAAGTTACATTGCTCTAGTCGATGTAGTAGACGTTAATCCAAACGCCTTAGTCAGTCAGTCAGTTAAGTCAGTCAGTTAAAAATTTGCTATATGCACCCGTGAAAGGGGGATATTCAGCTCTAACTCATGCTACGGATATGGATGACTAATGGAAACGAATAGCACATGACGACAAACATAAAACCACAATAGTTCATAAAACTTGACAGATGAAATATCACTAGAGTACCATACTAACCAGTTCTGAATGACAGAAGTTTTATCGTCCAAAAGACGTGACAGGCAAGGAATTACTGATGTACCATAGGCCTTTGCGGGAGCACATATAATTTCGTAGCTCCGCCTGGTCGAGGAGGCTGATACGTATTCAAGCAACGTTCTATGGAGGGGATGGCTAACGTCAGTGAGTATTTTAGATGCAAATTTGTTAGAGGAGTTGACATGGCTGACCACAATAATACTAACGATTTCCAGCATTGAAATGCTACTACACCGGGATACATGGTTCAATGAGCTGCCAATTACTTTGAGGTCCTTATTCAGAAGACCGGGAAAGCTAACGGGAGAGCAACAGGTCCAGTAGGATAATACATATGCAATGATTAAAGCTGGATGAAACAACGGGACACAGAAGAAGACCTCAGACGCATAAAATAGATTGAGTGTCTTCTAAGTTTATTGAATGTTTTCTTCAATTGAAGGGCTCAAGATACTTTACTCAGGTGGAAGAGGTCAACAGTTTACTGTCAATGTAAAGTTGTGGACACTTCGTTTGATTTGCTAGTAGCGAGTAACTTCAAACAGTGAAAATAGGAAATCACTGCATTCTGAGTTCTTAACGGTAGGCTACAGGATTTGGACGAAGCTGTGAGTTTGTCCACGGGGCTTTGTAGTTTGGCCGATGACTCTATGCCTGGATGATGGACGCCAAGGATTACGTCGTCCGCATACTTCAGCTAGACGGATTCTTCAAGGACGGAGATTGAGGTGACATAAGCATAATCGAAATCAGAAATCGCGTTATCGGTGAAGAATTCTTTCAGATAAAAGCTCATCAAACCCATACGTTTACATAGTGGATTAGGTGTGCAAGTGCCGTCAAGAAGTAAATATTGATCACACGCAGCTTGGAAAATAGATTTAATGACCTTGTCACAGCTAAGGATACTGTACCCAGTCAACAAATGGAATGGTAAGTAATAATCACACGAAAAGAAAGAACATAGATCACTAAAATCATAGGCAAAAAGTTAAGTCACAGTGCTCGTTGGCTAATGTAAACGAATAGCCACTCATATTTCATCTGAACGCATAACTCAGCTTTCAAGTGGCGAAGGTATATCGCCTCCACAATAGATAGCAGTTGGTTGCGGAAGCATCGTCAGTCGCGTTCAGGCGAAGAGTAGATTATTTTGAAGTCGTTCTCCGATGTTGAGTGACCGTGTTCAAGATGTGACACAGAACCGAGCTGTTATATGACCTCATTTCACCTCTGTAGAACCACATTGGTAAATGCTAGCAGCATCAGAGGACGAATTCAAAGTGATCTACTCATTACCTGAACGCGACTCACGATGCTTCCGCAAACTATTGCGTTCTAGTGCAGAAGACATATACCTTCGTCACATGAAATCTGAGTTGTGTGTCCAAAAGGAATATGTTCGGACCCTTTTGTTACCTTGGCCAACTTAGCTTTACTTACTTAGCTTTATGATTATCATTTCAATAGTCTGCCTTCTTTCTTTTCGAGTGAATATTACTTACGATTCCATTTGTTGACTGGGTATATTATCCGTAGCTGTGACTTGAGGTCATTAAATCTATCGTTCAAAATGCGTGTGATCAATATTTGGTGTTTTACGGCACTTCCACACCTAATCCACTATGTAAACGTATGCGTCTGATGAGATTTTACCCGAAAAGAGCTATTTACCGATAATTCGATTTCTGGTTTTGTTTATGAACAAGGAAATGGTTACATAAGTGAAAAATAGGGAGAGGGACAAAATGGCTCCCTGAAGAACACCAGAGTTCGTGGTGAGTAAAGATTGTTCCCATTAATCTGGTATATTGGGTAGGCCTGGTAAAGTAATGTGCCAACGGAACAACAACGGAAGTTTGAACTCCAGAACCTAATAGATCATGTAACAGTATTTCACGGTTCTCACAACCGAATGCGTTGCAGATGCGGATAGATTTGTTTTTTTTCATCCAGTGACGATAGCATAGTATGTACCAGCCATGCTACTACATCTAAGGTGGACCTTGAGCTGCGATATGATGACAGTCACCCAAATGGGTCAGGGCTGAATTTTTTTAAAAATCACTCTCAAAAATTTCCAAAGCAACAGAAGTGCAAGCTATCGGCTGGTATTTGCAGGTTCCTTTCTTTGGCACTAGCGTGGTACTTGCGCTTCGCTAAATGTCAGCTATCTTATGGTGCTTGAAGCAGTGTACGCAAATCGGCTAGAGACTGTGCCAGGTAATTTGCACACCTCCTGAGAACGACAAGAGACAACTTATCCGGAACAGGTGATTTGTTCACTTGTGAGCAGAATAAATCCCTGTGCGCTTCTAGGCTGTTCACAGAAGTAGGGTTATATGAGGCTAGCTGTAACTCATCAGTTAATATATCAAAGAAGTAAGTACTATCATGGCCACAAAATGTGAAGTTTACTTTTTCCACATCCGGAGCTGAATACGTCGCGGGTGATTCCGCGGGTGATTCCGCTTAACTGTTTTAATATATTCGACACTTCACTACAGTTATTGTTTCTAACTACAGTTTGAACGTAGGTATGGTTACGGCGATGCCATTCAACATTTATAGCAATCGATAGAGACTTTACTGATTTAAGGTATTTACGCTTGAAAGTCTTTTCTCTAAACCTGCACAGTCGTTTGATATGTGGAGGCGAGTATCGATTAGCACGGATGAAAATTATTTCAACTGGACAATGGGTTTCGAAGCAGAAGTTTAAGCAACTAGTTAACTGGTCACAATACCGATACGTTCGCACCATAAACTAAAATCTGTTTTTGCAATGGTTTCACGCCACTGTTGAATGTTCTGGAGAAGGCGTTGTCTCCGTCTGAACTTTCGATATTTGCAACGGCTGAAATCTTCTTGGTTCATGTTGCAGTAGATATGGTGAGATGACCTTATAGTGGGATGACCAGAACTCCCAAGCGGTGCCCGATCACAAATAGAAAACACTTTCAGATCGTTAACAGATATCATGTCGTTGCATCTAACCTGGTTGGAGATTACACTATATTCTCTAGCCCAAAGCTCACAATGAAAATGGTGACAGACCTGTTAAAATCACCCAGTACAAGTCAGTGTCTAAAGGGTTTGCCTAGGACAGAACAAGCACAGGTTAAGGTACTATCTTAATGTTTGTAACTTCTATCCGTATAATTCGGAGCTTTCCTCAAAACTGTTATATCGTGATGTATCACTAGCGAGAAGGCGGTTATGTCTTGCTGAAAACCCCCATGCTTTTCATTTGTCGCTTCATGTGAAATTCGTTTTGAAAGAAGTTCGAAGGTATCACCATAACTGGTTTAGAATGTGCACACGTCATTTCTTTGCTTCGACGTCAGGTTACAATGGGTAAATGCATGAAAATGGATCAACCGTTGCATGTTTCGGAATACCAACTGCGTTTTCGGATGGGTACACATAGCCTCAATTGAGACCCCGGTTCACAGCTGGCGAAAAGCAATGGCTTAGCAACCAGGAGATCAGCGTAAACCCCAACTTTCAAGCTTTGCATCCCAGATATGGCTATCTTCATTTGGAGATCCCAAACGGGGACCAAGTCGATTGTGGAGCATAGTGAAGGGATCGAGTGACTCTGTGACTCACCGCTTCCAACAACCGAGTTGTTACCACGTAATAAGCTTTATATGTAACCTGAACAATGAATGTATACTGGGTAAGCCGCATTGCTTTACAAGTCCCTTTTGGAAGGTTGGTGGTGATATCGAAAATTATACTACAAGCTTTAGTACACCAAGTAAGTAAGGTCGCCTCGTACTTAGCGATATCGTCCGCTGAATACCCCCAAAGATTGCAGACGTGGCGAACTCTGATAACGTACTTGCATGTCCGGCGTTGAGGTTGCTCCAGTGTATCAAGTTCGTGCTTTAGCGATGGCAGCTAGGTTTGAATTGCGTTTTCGATATGGGGAGGAACATGGACATTGAGCATCTGTCGGAATACAAAGGCGCCTATTTACCCGAAGACCTGTCGCAACAGCCCGATGTGTTGGTTTCCCGCCTTCGAGACCTTTTTGAATTGCCTGTAGTGACCTAAGTCACTCTGAACCAGCACATCCAGATCACTTTCGATAGACGATTGATGCAATACATGCGTTCCGAGCCTGTAGTGCAGTTGATCTGGTGTCGTATGGAGAGTAGTGAAGATGTACTCATGTTTAACTGCAATAAAT